TCTCTCTCTCTCTATCATTTATTTAATTTTATCTATTTAAAAAATTTTGTTATTTAATTTAATTACAACCTAAATTACTCTTTTTAATATTTCATAATTGTTTTATATAAAACATCTTAGGAAACCTTTTTATGCAGGACACGCAGATTAAATAACATTTCGATGACAAACACAATTACACTTGTGTAATGTTCGGATACAGGTCGCAAGTTAATGCCAAGTATAAACATGGCCTGTCTGTCTGAAACAAGCCACACAGAGACAACCAGAGAGATATAAACCGCCTCAGACTATAAAATCAGCACCCTTAGAAAGATGCTCAATTAATCATATTTGAGGACAAGAACTAAACTAATGTTTATCACTCATTGGGATGCATGATTCTGCCACAGTTCCCAGCTGACCAACAGCATGTAAAAACAGCACAGGAATATATTATTGTGATATACTACACCACAGTCAGATGGTACACCCATGGAGGCACTGGAGCACAAAGAGATTAGGATAATAAGTCCAAAGCCAAGAAAGGCCTTTCAAGAGAGAACGGATAAGATTGCAGCCTGCTATCAGGTTTGCTCTCGTTCGCCCTGGATGACATTGTGAAAGGTGTCTGTCTGTAGACCAAGTTACACGCTCATTTATATTTACTGTAACCTCATTTCTCTAACCTCATTTTTTGGAAGCAAACATTACAAAACTTTTGCACCCAAAAATATAGATTGATTTTAAGGAGCTGTCATATACAGCTATTGAATTACAATTTAAGTCACCCAAAAAATTCCCATTTCTGACAAACAAGATCTGTGTCAGTTTTAAGAGTATTCTTTAATTTAGACATTGTTAAGGCCTGTTGTCATTCTAAAAGGTCTATTTTTTAAATTCCATATATTCATTAGACTGCAAATGTAAAAGAAAGGAACATAGGTAAACCCTCATGAGATTATTACAGTAAATTGCTGCAGAGCCTCTTAAACCTCTATGTTCTGTTCAGTTTATTCAAAGAACTATGCATATTTCAATGTATAAAGTGTTTAGGTTATGCAAATGTGTACAAAATACAAAAAAAAA